CTGCCCAGGTATGCAGCCAGCTAGATCTGCAGGACTCTCTGGGCCAAGGGGAAGAAGGGAAGAAGAGATGGAGTCCTGTGAGTTCCGAGGAGAGGGATGGAGCTGCAGGACCAGGATTGGACTTCTTGGAAGGAGTGAACTGGCACTCAAGGCCATACAGGCTTAGGGAAGATGGGAACTGGCCAAGTTGAGGGAGAGGGCATTTACGGCAAAAGTATACATTGAATTTTTTTTTCTCTGTGCCCTAAAAGGGTCCTCAAGTAGGTGAGTCTTCCTGGGAATTTATTTATAAATGTAATTATTTGTATTAGATGTGTTGTTGAAATAAAAATTGTTATATATATATATACATATATATATATGCATTTATTTATCCCTCCCCTTTTGGGGAAAAGCCTGTGTAAGAACAGCAGTTCTCAACCGGTGAGTCATGACACCTTGGGGTTGGATATCAGATATTTACATTACAATTAATAGTGGAGGCACTGGGGAGATGGGTCTGCCATTAACAGCATTAGCTGCTCTCATGGAAGACTCAGGTTCAATTCCCAGCACCCACATGGCAGCTCACAACTGTCTGTAAATCCAGTTCCAGGGACTCTGACACCATCTTCTGGCCTTAGAAGGTACTGTCTGCATAGACGGTTATGCAGAGAATAAAAAAAGTAAAATGAGGGCTGGAGAGATGGCTCAGTGGTTAAGAGCACTGCTTGCTCTTCCAAAGGTCCTGAGTTCAGTTCCCAGCAACCACATGGTGGCTCACAACCATCTGTAATAAGATTTGGTGCCCTCTTCTGGCCTGCAGGCATACATGCAAAATACTAAGAATACTGTATACACAATAAATAAATAAATCTTTAAAAAAAAAAAAGTAAAATGAGGGCTGGAGAGATGGCTCAGTGGTTAAGAGCACTGCTTGCTCTTCCAAAGGTCCTGAGTTCAGTTCCCAGCAACCACATGGTGGCTCACAACCATCTGTAATAAGATTTGGTGCCCTCTTCTGGCCTGCAGGCATACATGCAAAATACTAAGAATACTGTATACACAATAAATAAATAAATCTTTAAAAAAAAAAAAAAGTAAAATGAGGGGGCTGGAGAGATGGCTCAGAGGTTAAGAGCACTGGCTGTTCTTCCAGAGGTCCTGAGTTCAATTCCCAGCAACCACATGGTGGCTCACAACCACCTGTAACGAGATCTGGTGCCTTCTTTTGGCATGCGGGCATACATGGAGGCAGAATGTTGTATACATAATAAATAAATAAAACTTTAAAAAAATAAGTAAAATGATTTAGAACAGCAACAAAAATACAGTTATGAAGTAGCAATGAACCAATTGTATGGCTGGGGGTCTCCAGGACACGAGGAACTGTGTTAAGGAGTTGCAGCGCTGGGAAGGCTGAGAACTGCTGTGCTAGCAGGTCAGATGAGGATGTTGCGTGAGCAGGGCAATGTTGACAGACTTTTCCTCTTTCCAGTATCTGATGCCCTTTCTCCTCAACCAGAGTGGCTCCCTTCTCTACTACCTGACCTTGGCATCAACAGGTGGGTCTCTGGTTTGGAAGTCCTCTGCGGTGGAGGCCACATTTTATGAAGGGAACCAGAAATACCTTGTGCCTATCAGTGAGGGAGAACATCTATTTCTAATCCCCCTCCGGGTCCCAGAGGCAGTGAGGTGGGTGTGAGTGTGGCCAGGCACTAATGCTGGCCTGGCCGTCTCCTGCAGCAGCAGGAGAGGGAAGGATCATTTTTTGCTGTCGTAAGTGCTGACTTGTTTTCTTTATTTTGGGAGGAGGGGACTTATTGTGTGGGGGATAGTTTTTCTTTTTGCCCGGTACTTTTATTTTTTCATTGCATTTATTTTCTCTCTCTGTGTGTACGCATGCGTGTGTGTGTGTGTGTGTGTGTGTGCATGTATGTGTGTGTCGAGTACAAGATTTGGGAAGAGGCTCTCTCCTTTTACCTTGTAGGTGCTCTGATAAGCTCAGATCCTCAGTCTCGATGGCAGGTGCCTTCACCACTGAGCATCCTCCTGGCCCTTGTTGGCTGTTTTTGAGACAGAGTCGCACTGTGTAACTCAGTCTAGTTCCAAAATTATGATCTTCATGCCTCTGTATCCCAAGTGCTAGGATTAGAGGTGTGTTCACCAGTCACCCGTGTAAGCGAGGCTCTGATGACTCTGATTCCACTGTG